GACTTGATTGCCCCCCATTCTCATATGTTACTCTGGATGATGGCTCCTTCTGCTGATGGGGTAAGGCAAGGACGGGTAACTGGAAGCTCTCTGAATGTGATTGGATTACAAATCCCATCTGCTCTTTCCAGCATAGGTGAGGAATGCTGGGGGCTGCCACCTAGCAACGTCTGGTGAATGGCATGTTTTGCCCACTCCAGCTATGGAGGGCAGAAGCAAATGTTATATATAGCCCGTGGTTAGAGCTGAAAGCATGTTAGTGCTGGACAGTCTTGCCTGATAGAGCAAATTTCCATGGAACCGTCTTAGAGGCGCAGAGAAAGAGGGGATCTATAGATCATCAAGTCCAGCCCCTGTCAAGAAGGCACCGTGGGGAATGGAACTCCCAACCTCTGGCTCAGAGGCCTAAAGCACTGAGCTATCCAGTAGGAGCTGTGCTTTAAGTCCTGAACCCCAGTCATAAAAGCAAAGCAAAGCATATTATGGTCTCAGAAAATGTACTGTGATTGAACAGAGAGCAAGTGATAGGGGACAGAGCTACTTCCTGGAAAGTGATTCATCACTAGCACTTACAGCAGCGGCTAGCCATCTATTAATGTACAAATAGCATTAAAAAAAGAATCACTTGCAAATACCACCAAGGAAAAGAGGAGAAGAAAATGCAAAAGCCGGGTTACAGCTGAAGAAGTCCAAAATCGTCACTAGAAAAGAACTGTACGACCTTAAAACTGACAACGAAGAAATCAAAATAGTACCAGATTTTCTTTACCTTGGCTCATCAGTAATCATCCTGAATAGTGATGGCAGCCAAGAAGTCAGACGAAGACTGGGGGTGATCCGATGGGGAAGTAGCTCACATATCGGACCGCTCAGAGTGCAGAGTTATTTCCCAGCAATTGCACTGGAGATCGCGAACTAGCCAGATCCTAATCTCCACCCAAACTGGACTTCTTTGGTCTTGTGGGAGAGTTACTTCTCTTTTGGGTTGTGCTGGACCAATTCCTGCATGGATGGAAGGGTCCCTTTAAGGGAGATTGGCCAAAGCCAAGCAGCCCTCGACAGCATCATCAGACATGATGCTTTCTCACGGTCTGGTCCCACAGTGAAACCGAGAAGGGCAGCTATGAAGGAACTAGAAAAAGATCCTCCAACGTGAGGCTGGGTCACTGGAAGCCAAAGTCAAGAATGTCCACACACTGGTATTCCCCACTGTTATGTAGAGATTCAGTTGCTACCCCGAGCTTTGGGGGAAAGGAGACATCAATGGGACAGCTGTGTGTTGCAGAAAGCAAGCCATGGGTCCAGCATCAGCAGCCGTTACAAGGAGCCACCAAGCAAAAAGTCCAGGATTTTAGCTTGATGTCCCTTCCACCTTGGCCAAGGCAGAGTTGGCTTTCTTAGGATGGATGATCCAGCTGAGGAAGAGTCCACCCGGACAGGCTCTGCGTTGTGTCTTTTCAAAAGCAGGTGGAAGTCATTGCGTTTCTCCAGGTCCCAGAGCCCAGAAGGGTTATTTTTAAAGCATGCCATGCTGACTAGGGAATTCTGGGAGTTGTAGTCCTGAAAGGTTACATTTCCAATGCTCCCACCACCTTTGCAGGTAAAAGCTACGCTGTTATGTTTATGGCTAGGCAATCAGGACTCTGTGTGGGTGGCCGGTGCTTCTGTTATTGAAGGGGGGGCAATGCCTTCCCCTGCTTTTAATGCACAAAGAAAGTCATGTGTACCCCCTCCCGCTGTCTTGTGGTATGTCCCGACACATTGTGAGGATTTGGGTTTGCACTCAGGACGTCTGCACTGCCTGCTATTTTTACATCATGCTCTTTCTGTTTTGTCTCCTTCCCAGCGATGAGTTTCTCCATCGCACTCAGCATCTCCATCTCTCCGTTCTCCAAAGAAAAGAGTTTCCAGATCTGGGGTTGGGTCAAATATTAACAAACTAATGGAGGAGCCAGGCTGGAGTCCTCAGAGACCTACTGAGAACTGATGGGAAAGGGAAATTCAGTTGAGTTTAGTCATGGTTTGGCTTACTTTACTGTCGTTCCGGCTGAATTATTCATGGAGACGATGCGAACTCTTCCATTCACTGTTTGTGCCCATAACACAATAGCTCTGCCAGTGGATCTCTAATAAAACTGTCACTTCCAATGTTTTTTTAAAGTTTTTTTAAAGAAGGCATCAACAGGAGCACTCAAACCTGGTAGGAGGAAATGTGTCACATAACGGAAGACACAAGGATGAAAAAGACACTGACGGATGGCAGAAGGAATTTATTGCCACACCAGTTTCTGACACGTTTGCAGCAGGGACTGGCTAGCAAGGTAAATTGAAAGGCAGAAGCAACCTGATGGTCTAATTGGTTCTTTTAAAAGGCCCGCCAAATTGGGGAGAAGAGCCGCAGAGAAATTGTGAGATCCGTTCATCATGCAGAAGCCAGGAGCACCGCTAAGCCGGCCTTGAATCTAGTGAGATGAGATGGGAGAATCACAGCTGGATTCTCTTTGGTATGCAGATGCAAAAGGGTGCCCTCCGGCTCCTGGCCCTGAGCCGGTTCTCTGACTGACACCCGCCCGATGGCTGACAAGCACACAGGTAAGAGGCACCACGATGGCTCAGGGGAAAAAGTCCTACACCCTCACATTCCCCTGGTGTCCCCGTCCTTTGTAAAGCCACGGCCTCTGTTGGGTCCCTAATTTGTGCCTTTTGGTGAATGCCTTACTGCATTTTGGTTCATCTGGGTCCCTAGAGTGCTTCCTCTCCTTCCTGGTGGATCAAATTAAATGATAACGTTTGGCAGGTTTTTTAGAAGAGGGAATTCCCGGACTGAGGAAAGATGTTTGCTTGTGATAGCCCATGATTTTAGAGTAGACCTTTGGTCTAGATGGGCGGGACAAAAATCCAATAAATAAACAAACAATAAACAAATGATTTTATTCACCAATGTATCTTGCATTTAGCGTGCTTTGTTCTGTGGCTGGTCTTTCTGGAAGAGAAACACACACTTCATTTGCAAGCCTGTTCCCTGAAGCACCAGATGTCCTGTCGGAGAAGGGAAAACAGGTCAGCTAGAAGAAATATGTGTCCTCCTCGAGGTCTCGTTTGACCCAGAGTGGATGGAGGGGCCTCTTCTCAAGCATGCCTCTGATTCTGTGTGCATTCATAAATACTGAGCTGCCTTCTGTGCGTGCCGAGGTTCCAATTACTCCCAGAGCAAGTGCTGAGGCATATCTTGAATGGGTATATCTTTTAAATCCAAGCAGGGTAGAAAATTGGAGAGAAAATGAATGCAGCATACCACAGAGAAGCAAGCATACCAAAGGGAATTGATTGGATCCTTATGAGTGGGGGGAAAGGAGGGGTTTTTTTTCCTTCCCCCTACCAGCGTGTCTCCAAATGACCTTGCATTCTGATCTCCCTGTGAGATGAATTCTCCAAACTTCCAACTGCTCCCAGGAGGTCCGTCTCACCTGTGTGCAGCATGGCTTCTCCGGATCCTGTGGAGCTGTTCAGCTGACAATAAACCTGAAGTTCTAAACGCTACCACCCTGTTGACGAACTCTGCAAATAAAGATATTTGCGCCTCCCTTTTATAATTGAAGGCAGGTGCTATGCCATGGCTACCGTCTTCAGATCACTCTCCGTGATGCGCCTTCCACATGTCACTGTGCGTCGTGCGGACTGATCTGACATTTATTTTAAAAACGTGTATGATTCCATGGTGTCTCCTTGAGCGCCCAGACAAAATCAATCAGTTGTGACAAAGTACTCTTCCAGCATGATAGAGGCAGAAGCATCTCAGCTCTGTTCTCTTAGAACAGAATGTCACCAATTTATGGCCTTCAGGAAAGAACTTGAACTTAACACAAGAAAACTGACAATCAGAGGACAGACGTGCTGAAAAGAAGATTCACGCTTTAAAAAAAAAAAGTTTCGCACAATCAGACCAAAATTGTAGCAGGATGCTAAAAGAGACAGGGAATGAATTCATTCCTCTTTCCTTTCCATTTCCAAATTTAAGTCCCCAAGAGAATATTGGTCAGATTTGATTGGGTTAGTCAACACACACTCGCACCCCCTCCCCCCCCAAAAACCACCCCGTTGCTTAATGAGGAAATAAACAGAGGCTTCTTTTTGCATCTGTTTTGCAGATTAGTTCATATATTATGGACCATATTAATAGATGTCTGAGAATGAATCCAGGGAATATGATTAAACCTGTGCATCTGGGAAGACGTAGAGAAGGCAGAGAAGGCAAATTACATTACTTCTCTCTCCCCCCCCCACCCGCTCTTTGTAAAGATTCCTCTTCCATCTGGGGAGTACAAAGTCCTGAAGTGGAACAAGATATAAATAGTGAGATAACCTGCACTCTTTCTGGGTTCCTGGGAGAAGCGACTCAGCTTCTTTGTTTTGATCATATTTGCTTGAAACCATGTTAATTTTCTCTTAGAGCAGGAAGTCCAAGCACACAATATTTATCCGTAACCTTCCTGCGGCCAGTTTCTGTTTTAGTATTCTTAATGCGTCGTGCTGTCATGGAACATGGTTAGTCATTTTAATATAGTTGATAATGTTATGATATAAAGGGCACAACATACTTTTTTTTTAAATTGCTAAGGAAGTTTTTGAGTTATAGTGAATTTGAACTGCTGACAGATCTTTCTTTATGTTTTCAAAGCCCCCCCCTTCCTCCGGATTCTGAATTCTGCCAATTCTGCTGGAGCCTTCAGGGGAGGACGTAATGCCCCGTGTTTTCCTGAAAGGTAAAGAGAGGAACCGACGACTGGAACCTAACGCTCTGCCCTTCTAGCCCTGAGAAATGGACTGAAAAATTAAAACCACCATCACCATGACAATTGATCCATCTGAAGTTACTTTAATCTCGTTTAGGAAAGCATACCTACCAGAAAAGGTTCTGCATCACAGTGTTACGCTCTCCAAATGGAGAAAGTGTCCAGCTTTCGACAACAAATTAACAGAAGTCCCCATGTGTTTTTTTCTCTCCCCCCTACAAAGCTATGTCTCAGGTCAATGTGAGCAGAAGGATGCTCATGCGCATGTACCTCTGGCTGGCTGAAAGACATCGTGTGCAGATACAGGCTAAGTGCATTCTTTCTTCACCACTCTCTTGCCAAAGAATATCTCTAAGCCTGAGTTCCTAAAACATCAAGACTGTTTTCGGAATCAGTCATCATGTTTATCTGCTGCGTAGAAAGAAGGGGATGACGGATTTGGCTCCTCCTCTGTGGAGCACTTGATCTCGTCACTAGCTTTGGGGGAAAAGCTCTGTACGATCAAGTTTCTGAAAGAGACATGTTTCAGAGCAGACATCCGTTTGGATGATCTAATGACTACCATCCTTCCTAACTCATACCTAGTCACCAACTGGGGATGATTCGTTTACTATTTGAACAGATGTCAAGGTTTACCCTAAGCACCTGGAGTGTGGACTCTCTACTTTTAGAAGAGTACAAAGAACAAATGTATAGCCCACCAGTGATGAGTAAACTTGTTAAATATCTTTTGTGGTGCTTTTGCAGGTGGTATCCCTATAAGGTCCCATTGTGTGTGGGAGGCCACTCATGTGTGTTTCCTATTTGGGGGTCAAATTAGACATGAGGGGGAATAGGTATTTCTTGTCATTAACTCATTTGCTCCACACACTTGGATTTCTTGAGACATGCGTGTTTCATCGATCAGACTACCCAATTGGGCCCATGCTGTATGTCCCAATGAATTAAAACAACGTGGGCCATATGCAAGCTATGGAGATGAAGGAAACCTTGTGCGAACAGGTGTCTTTATAGTAGCCCCTTGGAAAAAATAAAATAGAGTGTTAAATGTATCATCTAGTTTCATCCTTTCTCTCTCCCTCTCCCTTCTGTGATTGTCAGCTGAAGGCTGTGTCCAAACCAATGGGTTTTGTTTCAGGACAAAACAAAATGTATGATGATTCTTAGTCCCAATCTCTACCAGTGCAGGGCTGTTGTTGTTTCGAGTGTGCATGCATGCAATGCAACAGGCAAAGAACTGCAAGTGTGCACACCTTTGTAAACACTCAACCATGTCAAGCAGCAACTAGGGAGTCAATCTTTAGCCATTAAGACTGAGTCGATTTTCTGAGCTACCAGCCGCTGAGTGTATTGATCCCGATGGCACAGCCTGTGCCACAGAGGGCAGTCCCCAAACCACATTTGGGACCAGCTGCCCTTCCACCCAAGTCACAGCACTGTGCCTAGACAGCAGAAAACCTGAAATCACGGCCAGCTCATTCAAGAGAGGAGCACGCGAGTTCAGTTGTAAAAGCCCCATGTCCCTCTAGGTCAAATATGAGTCCTCCCATTGGAAAAATCAGAGTTCCTGGCTGATACTCCCAACCTATGCTTTACTCATTTCTACTAGAAAACATCAAGGAGCTCCCCACAGCTGCCCGGTGGGCCCTTCTTAGCTGCCTGTTATGATGGGCTGAACAGTGGATATGTCCGTCCGAGCGGAGTTCCTTTCTGAAGCATTTCTCACTTGCTGGGAGGTGGTGTCTTGTTTGCAGAGGTCATTCTCAACCCAGGCATGCCTGAAAGGAGGGGAAACGGAGCGCAAGGCATGGCTTCTGGGGGCATTCTCCCGCCAGCACACACCCAGAAGAGACTTGAGTTCCGAGCGGAAGCTCTCGTTCAGCCAACAGTAGATGAAAGGGTTGTAGCAGGTGCTGCTCATGGCGAACCAATGGAAAGCAAAGTAGAGGGCGTTGTTGCTGTGGATGGCCTTGCTGGACAGGAGGACCAAGTAGCAATTCAACGGGAACCAGCAGACGGCAAAGACCACCACCACCACCATCAGCATCTTGAGGGTCATCTTCTTTTTGCGCTGGTGGGCATAGTATTGCTCCATGGTGACGTCGCCGATGGCGTTCCTCGTCCACAGCTTCTTGGCCACCGTCGTGTAGGCGACTGAGATGACGGCCAAAGGGAGGATGTAGAGGAGGACAAAAGTGGTCAAGTCTAGGTACTTCCAGAAAAGGTCCGTCGGAGGAGGAAAGCTGGGAAGGCACACCATTCGGTCCATTTTGTGCCTGAAACAGAGACAAAGAATGATGTTCACAGCAGGAGGCAGAAAGGTATAATCGGAGAGAGGTGAACGGGCCATCCTTCTGCAGCCTTTGACTCCTCTCTCAAGAACAACCAGATACAAGGGAGGGTGAAGGAGGGGATGGACCATTCGTAGTTGCACAGTCCATGGGATTTCATCAGTACAGCTTGCTTTGCACCAATGAAAGAAACTGCCCCCAATGACATTCCCATTTTGAAGCAAAGGTACAGGAGCCCAGTTCTCACAGTTTTCCTGTGAAAATATTTTTCCCAAATCTGGTGATGCAGCTGTAACTGCAACCCACCCGCTTCTCAAGGCCCACTTAGATGTTTCATCCAGCAAGCATGAGTCAGAACATGCCAAGCCGGACGTGGGTGAGGAACAGAAGGGTCCCCTGGACTCTCATAGGTCCAGGAAACCACACATCCCCAGAGGATAGCAGCCTTGTTTCTGACTGGGAACTGATGCTTGAAAGAAGGAAAAAGATGGACCCCCCTCAGCACATGAGGATAGCAGCCTTGTTTCTGACTGGGAATTGATGCTTGAAAGAAGGAAAAAGATGGACAAGGCTGGGAGATACAGTCCCTGGCCAGTAGACCATTCTTGGACTCTGCCTTTGGATCTCATGCATTTGGCTGGCCCGCGTACGGTCTCTTCAAGGCCTGCAGTTCTATGATGATGATAATGACGATGATGAATTTACTCCTCTTACCCATAAGGAGCCCAGAACAGCTTCTGGTAGATTGCATGGGGCAGAGAGAAACAGCTTGCCATCACCCAGATGATGAGAATATAGATCCCTCCTTTCACGATAGACATTCGGGGCTTTAGCGGATGCATAATCACCTAAAGGGAGGATAGCATCAACAGGGTTTCACTTCCTCACATAGGTCTTCACCCAGAAATAGGCACCTGGGATTTTGTCTTACTGGGATGAGTGGTGCCCACTCAAGGGTGATGAGGAAAGTTAAGCCGGGACCAATGAAAGGAAGGCTTTTTCAGCAGAGCTTTTGTGAGCTGCCTCTGCCTGCCATCGTGCTTTAAAGAAGAGAGCAGTTCAGTACTGATTTTCCAGCACCAGTGAATCCTCTCTGGGTTTTGGTCCAAACTCTACAAGCACGTGTGAAAATACCCTCATAGGGAGACAGTCAGGACACGTCCCCTCTCAACAGTTACTCCTGTTTCGGAGTACACCTCCCTGTCATTCCCCTCTACTCAACAGCAGAGGTTTTCCTGTTTCTCCAAACATTCGCACGGCGCAGAACTGACTCTCTCTTGGTGCGGAATCCGGATTTGAAACATGCAGCGGCAGAGAAGAGGTATGTGCTTACCTGATGGCGGTCTAGAGCGATCGCAGTGAGGGTCAGGACAGACACGTGAACGGAACAGTACTGAACGAATCGACTTATGTGGCACATCAGTTTCCCAAAAACCCAGGTGCTGCTGACAAACCGCACCTGAAGGGGAAAACCGGGCAGTTCGTCAAATCACATCAAACGAGGGTGAAAGTGACATGCCTATTTATTTATGGCCTTTATTATGGCATCAAAGAGCTCAGAACAGTAGGCATGGCTCCCTCCTGTTAAAGGGGAGCAGTCCTATTAAACACACTTTATATTTGAGCAAGCATGTTTTAGAGGATTGTTAATTTCCAAGGTGGCAGTTTACCAGATTTACATTTTGAAAGTTGTCTCCCTTTCCAGATTCCCTAACCTACATCTCTGAGTGAGGACATCAGCTTTATTTTTTATTGTTATTTACGCTGTTCACTTTGCATTTTATTGCTTCGTTTCCAAGCCCACCATGAAAACATTAAAAAAAAAAAAGATGGACTGCACACCTACAACATTATTTTTTTAATTTCACATTTTTTTAAATTGTTATTTTTAAAAACTTGGAACTTTTTTTTAACCCCTACACATTATTCAAATGTCTTCAACCTCCTGTACCCAATCTTCCCCTAGGGTGGCCGAAGTCTTCTAGCTTTCAAGGATTCCTGGGTGGACCAGTGGTGGCTAGGATGTTTTGATGAAGATTTATGACCAGAACAGGAGGAGAGGAAAGAAATTACAGGGGGCAACCCGCAGACATCTCCTCCCTCCCACCACCGCTCACCCCTCAGAACCCCTGAGAGGATTGCCCCCCCCAGGGGGGGTCTTGAAAAGCTTTTGAGGAGGAAATCTGGCAAGAGAGGACCAACCAGGGAGGAAGCGTCGGAGTCCTTACCAGGGTGAAGGGGGTGTTGAGGAGGGTGATCATGAGGTCGGCCACAGCCAGGTTGACGATGAAGAGGCTGGTGGCTGAATGCATCCTCTTATTTTTGATCACCACATGGCAGACGACCACGTTGCCGAAGAGCGAGATGCAGATGATGACGGAGTAGGACACAATGAGCAGCGCCTTGACCATCCGGCTCTGGGACTCGCCTTCGTAGCGGGTGCCGTTCTCCATGCTGTCCATGTCCAGCTCGTACAGGCAGGACTGGTTGCGGAAGCCGCAGAGGGCAGCCAAGAGAGCCTCGCCGGTGCCATTGGGACCCTCGGCGCCCTGGCGGAAGGGCTTGGAGATATACTGGGGAGGCACCCAAAGGTGCCTGGTCATGGCAGGGTGGAAGCCAGGGGTCCCTGCAGCCAAGGGGGTGGTGGTGGTGGTGGTGGTGGTGAAAGGAGCGACCAGCTCTCTCCTTGGATCCAGTGGGTCTCCTGGACCTAGGACCTCTTCTCTAGAGCAACAGCGTCTCTGGGATCAAGTAACTCTCTGGGTTTGGAAAAACTCGCTCCTGGCTGCAAGTGGATCTCATGGACCCGCAACCTCCTTTCTGGATCCAGGCTATTTCTTCGGAGGATGCAGATCTGCTGGGTGAAGCCGCCCTCTTTCTGGAGCCAGCTGATCCTGGCCGGGACCCGGCAGCCTTTTTCCTCGGTCCCTTCGGAGCGACTGGATCTCTTCCGTGGAGCCGCCGCCGCCTTCTCCCCGGCTGGAGCGCATGGACTGCCCGGGCGGGCTCCAGCGGCTCCTCCTTCGCCCGACGGCTGGCGGACTT